AAGGCAGTTTCAGAAATATTTTGAACACAGTGCCACGTAAGCAAGCTAACTTTATTTTCATATTGGAAGCTTCCTCATTGTTGCACATAGTAATGTAAAAGGAATGCAAGAGGAGGAGTCGCATCGTTTTTTTACCTTTAATCGTCAAGCAAACAAAAAACAAGCTATACATTATTTGTTATGTATAACCCAGATTTTATAATAAAAATATATAAAATAATTCTTTTTTTTTCAATGGAAAGCTTTTTAATTTTGCTAATTTAATTTTGCAATCAAATTTTTTTTTTGTTGGGGGGAGGGGCTTAGGACATAGTAAATCTTTTTTCGGTCAAGCTTTGGTGGGTTTTTTTGTTTTGTTTTTCTGTTGTGTTCTATCCACCATTCTTCTACTGCTTTGTCTGTCATGTCTCCAGCATTCTAGGGGGAAAAGGCAAAGTACATCCTTTCCACAATTTAGGGATGCTAATAAACGGACAGATTTTAATAATAAATCCAAAATGTGATAAAAAAAAATAAAAAAGTTGTTCAACATTTGATTTGAGGCCCCAGGTTATTAGTTGCATTTGTTCCTCTTCCTTCAGTATCCATTGTCCTATCCCCCAATTGATAAAAAAGCCTAATAGTACAAAAAAAAAAAAAAACAATCCTTAAAAAAACCTAAAAAAAAAAAAAACCTAAGCATTTTGGAATGATTCCTCACCTGTGGAAAATGTGCAGTTGAGTCTTAGGTATTTAGCGCTCTGTGCTGAAACATGTTGCAGTTAAAATAATGAAATAGTTTCTTTAATTATTTGGTGTTTATTATCAATAGTTATTTTCAACTGAGAACAAAGTAAAGATTAAAAAAACTACTATTAAGATTTTTTGTGTCCTTGTTCACATTGCAGTTCATTCTAAACCACAAAGTACCAAGAGACAACATCTTGCTGTTCTTTTTGACATATCTTACAGAGGATTTATTGGTAAGTAAATCGAATTACTTCATTAATATGATTTGGAATTCCCTAACACATATTATCTGTAAAGGGATAAAGTATGGCGTTTCACCGTAACATACGCTTGGCTCTTATTTTAACATTAATATTCAGATCTGCACCAAAATGACTAGAAATGATCTTAGACCAACCCCACACAGGAATGCAGAACAATATTTTGTGGCCGTGGGTTAACTACTCAACAGCGCCCCCTAGAAATTAAGGGTAGTCAAATCATTAGCTCCAAGCCATGCTTTGCCCAATCATTCTAACATTTTATACACATTTTTATCTCACTAAGACCTACCAAAAAGCCCATTGGAGCATGTTCTAAACCCCACAGCAAGTCAGCCATTTTCAATTAAATATTACCCTAATGTAAGGACTGACCAACTTTCAAAAGTTTGTAAAAAAAATTGGTCATTCATACAAACAAGCTAGGATTTTTAAAATAAAAAGTTTGTAAGAAAATATATTATAATGATACAATTCTTTCGCATTGCAGGACACTAAAAACCAGTGACTTGGAGGAGCATCACCAGGATAAAGGCTTCCTCACACCTCACCCACTCTCACCAGCTAACATGGGACAGCCTTGCTTGTCTGACTCTTTCAAACACCCTTTGTTGCCACATGCTAATCGTAAGCTGAATTAGGAGTTATTCTCATATCAGAAGTATGATGGCAAAAGGATAGAATCTCAGTCATTTTAATTAAGAACACTTTAGGTCGACTCTAACCTTAATAATTACAGACCAATCTCTTTCATGCTTAGCAAAAGCTTTTGAAAAATTGGTAAAATAAATCAGCTAACTTTACTTGTAAAAAAAAATGTAATTTAAATGAGTTTCAGCGGGGATATTGGGAAGTGCTGAAAAATATATATATATTTTTAATTATATTGCTACTCGTTTGGAGAGTGATAAAACCTGTACACCTTTTTATCCACCTCTCTTTAAAGTAAACTGACTTGACATCTAAACGTCATTTTGCTCTACAGGACCGAAGAAAGTAGACGACGCTGGAGAAACTTCAACTGAACAGAATCAGAATTTACTTGGGTTTTGTGCTCTTTCCAGGTCAAATATTTACATTAAAAGGGGACATATTTCAAACATGTACCAACTTTATTAATTTATTTTACCCTTAAACGAAGTTAACTTTCTACTACTTTGCTGTAAGTGACAAAAGCAAGAGAGGAAAGCTAAAATATTCAAGAAGTACTAGGGCAACTTCAAGCATGTCACCAAAACAAAAATTTCGGTTTTATCTTTCCCGTGGTGATACTAATAACACCTTAGACATTTCAGATGTTGAACAAGCTTTAAATACTTTCAGAAACTCTTTTAATGCTGTTGTTAATAGGCATGCTCCTTTTCAATGTTACAAACGTAGTAAAAGTTTTTTTCCTCCACAAATTATTACAGATGGAGTCGAAATATCAGTACCTAAAGAAATCTCTGAAGCTTTTAATAAGCATTTTATAGATGCAGCTAAGCTATTTGAAAAAACCTATCAAGGAGCACCTGTATCAACAAATGAGGTTGATACGAGGAATAAACCGGAGTCTTGCTTTGATTTAGAAGACTTTTCTAGGGATGAAATTTACAGAGCTTTGCTAGATATTCATTCAAAAAGTGCCATTGGTGCAGATGGTCTTGAGCCTTCCTTTTTAAAATGTGCGGCAAAACAAGTAGCAATGTACAGTGAACACATTTTTAAGCTCTCGATTTCGAATGGTACCGTTCCTGAAGTCTGGAAGTCAGCTTTTGTAACTCCCATTCCCAAAGGTGGTGACATCACTGATCTTAATAATTACAGGCCTATCTCTAAATTTTCATGCTTAGCAAAAATTCTTGAAAAACTAGTAAGCAAACAGCTAGTATCTTTTCTTACTAAAAACTCGATTTTGCATGAATGCCAGTCTGCATATAGAACAAATCACAGCTACATTACAGCATGCACTGTTGTTTTAAATGATATAATTACCTATTTAGATACAAATAAACACTGTGGAGCTATTTTTGTGGATCTCTCCAAAGCTTTTGATACAGTGGATCATGCTGTGCTACTCCAAAAACTTCATAGTATTGGATTTTCTAACAAAGCTTTGAACTGGTTTGAAAATTATCTCCAAGACAGAAAACAGTGTGTTTCTATTGGAAACGTTCAATCAGATTTTCTACGAGTTGAAAATGGTGTTTCTCAAGGCTCTGTTTTGGGTCCTGTTCTGTTCAACATCTACATGGCAGACATTGCGAATTCCATAAAAGGCTGTAAATTTCACATATTTGCTGATGATATTGTTCTGTACTGCAGTGCAGAGGATGTTCAAACAACTTTCAGAACCCTTCAGCAATGCTTCCAAGAATTAGAAGCTGAATTTGTTAAGAATAAGCTAGTTCTAAATGCAGAAAAGACAAAGTTCATGATTTTCAGATCAGATGCAAATGTTGAAGCTCCAAGTGTCCTCTCTACTCTGAATGGTAAAAATATTGAAAGAGTCACTAAGTACAAGTATCTAGGACTATGGATGGATGAGAATTTGAATTTCAAAGATAATGTGACAATGTTGGCAAATAACTTAGAACAAAAAATGGCTTCTTTTGAAACAGGTAAGCCACAGAATAAAAAATTTAAAAAACTTTTGCTATCATTTAATAAGTGTGACATTTTGTACATGCATGCCACACCTGAGACACTTGAAGAGTTGGATGTTGTTTATCACTCTGCTTTAAAATCTATCAACAGCAATGAAGATGATGCTGATCATTATATGCTGCATCATGAAATGGGACTCCTTTGCCCCAATTTGATGCGTAAGGCTCGCTTGTTACTACATATATTCAAAGCTCTGAAAGGGGAGAAACCCCCTTACATTACATCAATGCTTGTCATTCAAAGAGAACAGCCAGCTGGTTGTGTTTGGCTAGAGGTGCCAGAGTCCTCTACTAATATTGGAGAAACCAGATTTAGCTGCTTTGGGCCCAAAACCTGGAATAAAATGCAGAAAATTAAAACACTAAATACCTCTGATTCTTTCTGGAAAGCCAAGTCTGTGATTTTGTCATATTTGACCTCCACCTGTACTTGTCCTTGTCGGGACTTGGAACATCCTAAGTGGGGACTCTAGGGTGTTATTTGCTTTGTTTGCCATAATCGTTTGTGTAATACAGAGATATAGGTGTTAAAACTTGAATATGCATTTTAGAATAGGACAAAGGGTTAAAGTTGGTTGATAAATATTAACTAGTTGCATTTTTATTGCAGTTTTGTTTGGTTTTCAGAATGGTGAAATAATAAGAATATCCAGTTTACTGTTTACATGATCAATTCAGCTACTGTAACTGTGGCAACTCTGTAAGCCTGATTCTACCCAAGCTGAAAAAAGTCTTGTTCTCTATCATCTTGACTAACTGTGTATTTCCTATTTTTATATCATGAAATTATGTCTTGTTCTTCAGGTATTGCTCTTGTTTGCATCTTTTATGAAGATTTTAATTTATATTTCTTATGTTTGAACTTTTCTGTATTGAACTTCTAAATTTAATAATAATGTAAAGTTTTAAGATGCACTACTAGTTATAAATACGAAAGCTAGTAAAGTAGTTAAAGGATTACTTTTTTATTGTACTGAAGTTCTGTTTTAAGGTTCATTTTAGATAAACTTCCTTGTATTTTTAGTTTGAAAGGTTAACTTTAACTAAAAGCTTTATCGTGGGTCTATATAGGCTAGTTGAACTAATTGTAACAAACATGTAATAGCATGTCTGTAATCACATATATTTAAAAATATATATATATTTTTAACTGATGCTAACTTTAATGGATATTCTGCATGATTTAATCCAATTGTTTTATGGTATATTATTTTGAATTTTATTGTTATTTATTCTTTTTTTCTGTTTCATGATAAAGAAATGTTAATTAATAATAAACCTGATATAGTTTACCTAGATTGGTGTAATGTCTTCTTTACTGACTTATTAAAATGATAAATCTTAATTAATACTCAGCTCTGTTTGCTCACCTCATATCAAAAGTGGAGCCTTTGAATGCTGGTCTGAGTGTTTCAGCTGCCGTTGACTGGGTGTAAGGGACAGAGAAGACGCCATTCTTCCAGTGCTTGTCCTTTACAATGGGAGCCAGGTTCTGGTACATGTCATCCACAGCCAGCATGGACACCTGCAGCAGATAAGAGGAATATTAAAATCCATATTTAGGTCTGTTTGTGTCAGAGCGAGGCTTTAAATACACACCTGAATGTTTCGGTCAATCAGCTGGTTGGTTTCAAAGTCATCATCATCTTCACCAAAGGGGTTGATAATGAGCTCTCCTACCTACAAAACAGAAATGTCAGGGAAAGCAACTTCAACAAGTTAAACAACATCTTACTGATTTAGAAAGATTATAGTTATTACTTTTTTTCCTGCTAACATTGTTTTAATGGAGATAAAGACCACTAAAATCAAATTTTCCAAATGTGCAGAAGCATCAAACGACATTAATTTCTATTTGGTTTACCAGTTTTCAAGCTGTGTTTGAAAAGCCCATCATGTTTCACAGTCCCATGGAAATAGTGTGTTTTGACTTTTGGAAGAAATACAATTATGCTGGTTCCTACAGTCTGCAAAGATATCTGCAGGCTTCATCTTCAGACTACAGGAAAATGGTTTAAAAGTTTAGGTGTTTCATCTGCAGGATTAATAATCAGAGGGCAAAAGGTTCCTTAAGGAGAATTTTACACCAAGCAAACCTTAACCTGTGCCCTTTATGACTTCTGGATGGAGCGTGTTAATTTAAAAAAGATTTATCATCATTTTGAATGCAAAATGTTTATTTATTTATTTTTTTACAATTTTGATATAATAACTGCTTTGAGTCGGTTGCTCTTTCAGCTAAAGACATGTTTTAGAGTCTCTATAATTAACGATTAATTGATTACTAAATTAGATTTTGGATATTTCATTAACCTTACACTGACAATGCCAACGCCCCAGCCCCCCCCCCCCGCATTACATTAAGGCTCAGTCTACTGTGTATATAGCTATATACTATTTATGTATTGGATATAGCTATAGAATATGTATTCTCTAAATCAGGGGGCACCAAGGGGCCCTCAAGGACCACATGGGGGGCCCTCTTCGCCTTCTGAAAACAGAAGAACTCACTCAGTGGGTTAAGTTTAATCTTTTTTTATTCTGTTGCTCTTCTTTTTAATCATTTATGTATTATTTGATCATGTTAACTATTTCATCATATTTCAGTGGTTTCAAAATGACAATATTAAAAAGAAAATTAGAAAAGAATAAAAGATTAAAATAAGAATAAACATGAGTGGATGAGATTAACTGTAGGTGAACACTGATCCCTCCGGTTCATAGGTCAGTATTGGTAGCCCTTCCTATGACTCGGTAGCCATGATGATGATTTTTAAGCCCTCAGCTTAAAAAAGGTTGGTGACCCCTGATCTACATATATCTAATTTGTCTGCATCATCA